GTCTGAGCATGTACTCGTCACCTTGCGTACACGGACTACAATTAGCATAGAAGACTCAAATCCTAAGGGGTAGTTCCCCTTCCCCCCTCCCCTCTACCCACGAAGTTAGGCAAGATACTTATCTCAAAGAAGATAAATCGATACTCTAAAATAAACTTCTCGGGTAAAATGACCTTCGGGTGGCTCAAATCTAACCAAAATAACTTCAAAGCACAAATAAAACTCATAAGAGACTATTCCGGATCATAATGCCTCAATCTTTATCAAAATTTAAAAATCGACCCAAAAGTCGACCCCTGGGCCCGCACCTCGGAACCTGACAAATTTCACAAAACCTGAACCCCCATTCCAATACGAGTTCAACCATACTAAAATTATCAAATTCCGATACCATTTCGTCCCTCAAATCATGATTTTTCATTTTGAAATTTTTTTTCAAAAACTACCATTTTCCTCAACTCAAAATATAAATTAAATGATACAAATAAAGATAAAATCATGGAATATAATAAATTCTAGGTGAAGAACACTTACCCAAGCGATTTGTTTGAAAAACTCTCAAAGAAGCTCCCAAAACCGAGGTCTAAAACTCAAAATATGAAGAAAATGGCCAAACCCTCAACTATATGATTCTGCCCAGGTATGACCGCACCTGCGACATAATTAGCCGCTTCTGCGGCGTCGCTTCTATGACAAAAGGACCGCATATGCGAAGACCACTGACCAGCTTCGCCCTCACACTTGCTAACATCATAGCGCTTCTGCGCAACCACAGGTGCGCATGCCACAACCGCATCTGCGCTCCAACTCGCCTCTAGGCCCAAGAATCCGCTTTTGCGGCGCCGTAGATGCGCACCAATTTTCCGCATCTACGAAAACTACCAAGATCAGACCTTCATGCACATGCGTCTTCATCTTTGCATCTGCGACCATCGTACCTGCGCCCAGGGTCCGCAGGTGCGATTACACCAGAACTCAGACCTGTTCACAACCATGAAAACCATCTGCAACTCAGCCGAAACACACGCGGGGACCCCATCCAAGCATATCAACAAGTTCCATAACCTAACACGGACTGGCTCGAGGTCTCAAATCACATCAAACAATGTCGAAACTACGAATCGCACCATGAATCGAACTTATAAACTTTCAAATCTTCCAACTTAAAAAACCCGCGCCGAAACCTATCAAATCAACTCGGAATGACGTCAAATTTTGCAAACAAGTCATATTCAACATTACGGACCTACTCCAAACTTCCGGAATCCGACCCCGATATCAAAAAGTCTACTTCCGGTCAATATCTCCAAAAATTTAATTTTCGCCATATCAAGCCTAAATCAACTACAGACCTCAAATTCATAGTCTAGGCATGCTCCCAAGTCCAAAATCACCCAACGGAGCTTACGAAACCGACAGAACTCCATTCCGGAGTCGTCTTCACATAGTTCCGACTACGGTCAAAATCCTAAGACTTAAGCTTCCGTTTTAAGGACTAAGTGTCTCAAATTACTCTAAATCATCCAGTAACTGAATTCAACCACGCATGCAAGTCAATACATATAATATGAAGCTGCTCAGGGTCTTATCCCGCCGATCGAGACTTAAATTCTCAAAATGATCGGCCGGGTCGCTACAGGAATGCCCACGTTCATTGTTCAACCACTTGTCTTCATTTAGACTTATTATGCGTCACTACTACATTCACTTCAAGAATGGAGAAAATCAAGTGGGATAATAGTCACACCTTTTCATGAAAAATATATTATTTTTCTTTAGTCATCATTATATCATCAACATGGTATGGTGGCACTCAAACCCAATGTCTTACCAATATAAAGGCATGTTAGGCCGTAATGAATTAGGACTCAAACCCAACTCTTATCATCATGGAGCACCAGAATTTGATCCTGATGTCTTACCCCCATGGTGCATTGTGACTTGAACTCATTGAAGTTGATATCATTAATAGAAAAGGACAAAAACAATTTCAAATACGAAGGAAATGCATACCTCTTGAGTTAAACTCTTCATAATGTCATTTGGATATAATTCTCAACAATAGACTTTTATTTACTCAAATCAGCAAACTAATTAGTGTCAAACAGATATATGAAAATACAAAATAATATTAAAAATTCACATGTGGTCTTTGCTGCAATAAGCTTACTTCAAGATGAAAGTGATATGACTAGAATATTAAGGAAAAATGATGTATCAAACAGAATAATAGTACTACTAGTTACCATGCACCTTTGTGAAAACTAAGTATTATGCTCTCTAGAAAAATAAAAAGATAGAGCAGAACCTTTAAGTCAATCAGGGAATCAAAAAGAAATAGTATGTTTTTCGTATAGAAATGATTCAACATGTTAATTTAATAAGAACTATTATCAATGAAAAATTTGGTGTAGTACATACTTCTTGTACTAATATTTTATCTTACCAAAATAAAATAATTACGAATATTAATATTATTATTATATTATATTTATAGTAAACTAATATATAATCATTATGCTAGGCATACATAAATTATATTATAAGGTAAAACCATAAGCATACATAATAAAGTATAATTTTAATTTTGTAGATTATTTAGTCTACCTCATGCCACCTATTATTTAGTTCATAAAAATTTAACAATACTATATTCATGAACAAGATGCTCAAGTTTATATTGTGATGACATATCACAACAAAACAAAAATGAAGGAACCAACATTCATTCGGCGGAATATACTCACATTTATATCTGATATAAAAATATAAAAGAATTGTTAGGCTTGATAATTTTGATAATAGATCATCTAGATATACCTTACCAGAAGTGGAATTCAACCTTGAGGTTAGAGACTTCATGCTGATAACGTGTTATGAAATATAGCTCAAAGTAACAATATAGAACAAGAAAAAAAAAAAGCTAAGAGATATAGAGAGAAAGAGAGGAGAGATTCTTATTTCTTCTTCAATTGTGTGTATTTTTCTATCTATTACAAGGCCTTTATGTAGGCATGAAAAGTGAAAGAAAAATATGTCACTGAATATGTCATTAAGCATTTAAGATGAAGATCACAGAGGAAGAGTAAACATCCACAATAATTTGATTTCTTATAACAATTTCTTTTTATTTTATCTTATTTTCTTTTTACTTTTAAAAGGGACAGGTGGCTTTGAAATTTAAATTTTGTAGTAATCTTATTTCGGAGCATTCACAGGTACGTAAATAAAAGGCACTGACGTATGCATTATCAATGGGATCTATTGTAGGCTGGGCTAGGTACAATAGTCGCAAAGCAGTTTCAAGTAGTCCAACATAGTGAAAGTAAAAGTTAAAAGGCTTCATTAAAGCAGGGACTAATTGGCTTTTGTACATGGTGAGTTGGTGACTAATCCACCTTTACTTGCTATACCTCTTGCCGTCTGTTGTTTCTTTATTTGCAAAAAAATGTCTTTTTTATTTTATTTTCATCCCTGCTAATGACCTCATCTTTATTCTTCATAGAAAGCTGCCAAACGTAAAAAGATTCATGCTTTCAAGTCTAAGATGCGGATTGAGCAACTTGAGGTTGCTCAAAACAAGAGGCAAAACGCTTGGCAGCAATTTCAATCAACTAAAGGTCAGACTAAGAAGGTATGCTGGTCACTTATTCTCAGGTTGATAACCTCATGTATGAATCACAATTTAAAGAGATTGTGCCTACTGTGTAATATGATGATTGCTCTTTCTATTGTATTTCACACTTCTATCTTATCAAAAAAATTATATTTCTCACTAGAATCACATGCTTATGTGTTCATAAGCGACTGTATGATTTTACTTGTGTTTGTAAATATCTGCATTTATTTGCAAAGTACTTCACATTGCTATTGGATATCTTATCCTGTAGTTGTCTTCGTTATTCATAGTTATGTTTGGTCTTAAAGTAGTAGCCAGATCTGCGTGGCCAAAAGGATGGAACCAAATTTTTTTCATAAAAAAGGAATAATGTATGGAGGGCCGTTGTAATCCTTTTAGTTAACATATTAATGAGCAATGAAGCAGTGGTTTTTTGGGATATATATAAGAGGGAGGGCCTATCTCCAACATAAAAAACATGTCTCAGACATGTTTCTTTGGAGAAGACTAAATGATTGAAGAAACAACAGTAAAATGAAGACATCATCTTCATAAGCGTACTAGATATTCCATTGAAGTAATCTATGTTTCCCCTTTTTCCCTCCCCACCAAAAAAAGCCCCANTCCCTCCCCACCAAAAAAAAGCCCCACCTTGCCCTTGTCACTTACTCTTTTAGACTTGATATATATTTACTTTCATTATGTTCAATGAATATGCACCACATACCAGTTTTTAGACAACCTTACTTTTTTTTTAAAAAAAAAAATTACTCACACTCATATTTATATCATATTACATTAATTTATTATCATTTGTGATAAAAACAATGATGTGAGAATGTGTATTAGTTAATTGAGAGGATAACTTGCTGATTGTTTACAAAAAAAAAAAAAAAAAAAAAAAAAAAAAAAAAAAAAATGTATGTCATGTATTTATAGAATTAGTGTAAACGAGTGTTAGTAAGTTTATTATACTAACGTTGTGCTATGTTTTTGTCATTCAAAAGAGAGTGAACAGGTCCACAATTTTCTGCATGGTCGAGGAAGTGATATTGATGTATTAGAGAAATTAAATATATTGAATCTGTAAATGGAAAGCTACCTAAATTCTTCAAAGCCAGAGGCTCGGGGCCGGAGACCGACGACTAAAAGAATCTTTGAAAAGGAGACCTCCTTTTTTCATCAAATATATGCAACTTCAAAAGTGTTTATGCAATTAATAAAAGCGTTGTTTTTGTTTGAGTGCTAGTTTTATGCACGGAGGGTGTTAAAATATTCATATTATTAATATATTTATAAGATAGTTATAAATAAAATTGGTTACTAGCACAGGTTAAGTTACACTGCTAATGTAACATATCCTTACAAAAAAAAAGGGTTTCATATAACCAACCAATAACAGGATTACGTCCATGATTAGTCGGATTTTTGTAGACATTTACATATTCCAATCACCTATGTAGAGTTATATATCATCATTGCCATAGGCACCTTAGAGAATTTAGAGAAAATTATTCCCCTAAAAGTACATAGTAATTCCATTAATTAATTATGCTATACTATCATCTCCAACAACTTTGAAATTAAAATCTTGCTGTATTGTTGCTGATGAAGTTTGATTTTTGGAATACCATGTAGCCCAAAACAGATAGTTGAAGAAGTTGAGAAAGCTCAGCACTGCCAACAACCAATAGAAAAGATCAAGTCTGTCTTTGTTGAGATTATTGTCACTAAGCCAGCCACCATGTGATGAATTTGAAGTGATGTTATTCACTAATGAAACAAGAAGTGAGCTTAAATAAAAGCCAAATGAATATGAGCAATAAGTAATGGCTGTTAAAAAGGATTGCATCCCTTTTAAGGATTGTTTGTAAAAGAACTCAATAAGTCCAACTGCAGTGAACATCTCAGATATTCCAAAAATCAAGAATTGTGGGGTGATCCAAAATATTGATATGGTTTTATTTTCGTTCACTGCAGAAATTCTCCTTTTGTTTTCCATTAAGGCTGCTGATACCATGGAGAAAGTCGAGATAAATAGGCCAAGACCTATACGTTGCAGAGGGGTGATGCCTGTTGAGACGACATAATATAAATAATTAATTAAAATTGTGCTCTTTCTGACTGGTTAAAATTTTAAACGAAATGCTCATGTATTTCAATAATACCTGAATCATGACCGGTGAATTTTCTCGCGAAAGGGACGAAAAATGTGTCATAGAGAGGGACTATGAAAATTAACAATATGTAAGGAATTGACTGAAGGGAAGCTGGAGGGATATGGAAATTTTTAGTTAGCTTAGTGTTCATGGTACTTCCTTGTTGTACTGAAAAAGTTTGAAGTTGTGCTAAAATGGTATTGAAAATTATAGTGCAAGCAAAGATGGGAATGACTGAAATTAGGATCTTCACTTGCTCTACTTGTGTTACTGTGCAAAGTCTCCATCGACTTATCTCTTTTGTGTTATTTCCATCTTGCACTTTTATACAAGCCTTGTCCAAGAATCTGAAAATAGGACAAAAAGAAAGTTCTCTACATAATTAGTGTGGAAGAATATACCAAAGTAGTGCTAAACTATGATTACCATTATGCCTTAAAACTAAATTAAGTAACATTAAGCAAAGAGTGTAGTAAGTGGCGAATTCCTACTTTAGCTATATCACTGCATGCATATACTATCTCAGTAGAACATTATGATGATAATGTTAGACGTGTTATGATCAAGTGCTTATCATCATGCCAAAAGCTAACTATAGTCGATAGTAAGAACGTAACTTGATTTCTTAACGAAGCACACCAAACAAGTGTCATGTTCGATCATGACTCCGACCCGAACCCCAAGCCACTTACCCAACAATTACTAATAATTATATGTACTTATAAACAATTCGTTAAACTATCACTGTCACCTAATAAATAACTATAGCTGGTTATCGTCAATAAGAATACTTAAATGTACGTACCTGAATCGATTGGTGTGAAGAAGAATACCAATATTATCATGAGACATGGTGGGATTGACATTCTTGATGGTGTGGGTCCCATGAAGCATACGTGTATCTGATGGAGAAATATGCTTTCTGTTTAAGAATGCAGCCACCAAAACCTGCCATTAACCATAAATATAAGAATAGTTAAGACCACTTCTTCAATATTTTTTTTAAAATATTTTTATTGTTATATTGGGATGGTTTTTTCTTTCTTTGTGGGGTTGGGTTTGGGTTGGCCGATCATAATTTAAAATTTATGAATTTATCTTAAAGTAATATACAATAATAACTAGCTAACTTTACCGTTAAATATTTATAAATATTAAATATAATTTTGAATACATATATATGATCTGAGTTCACATAAAGACATAGTTTAAATGATATATCCGCCTGTGGGTTGGGGGATGGCAAAGACTAATAGAAGATGCCAAATTCTCCGACAGATGAATAAATGGAAGCCTTAATAATGATGAACTAGAGCTCTTTCCTAGAACATGAATAAGAAGATGACACTTGCATATGTATGTTATTTATATAATTGAGAAATATATATATAGAGGGATTACTTTAATCTTGTCGGCGAAAGAGAAAAGAAAAAAAGTTAGAACTAGCATTAAAAAATAGAAAATGGCAACCAACCCAATTCCAGGTCGTCATTATTAGACATCCTAGTAATAATGCAATGGGAGTGAAAATGCAAGATATTAAAAGGAATTAATTTNTATTTGCTGATTCTGACAATGAAAAGTGCATCTCATTTATCACATATGTTATCAGGTTGTTCCCTACTGCTGCTATTCCCATTATCTCCAATCCTTGCAACCCTGTTAGTATAGTAAGTATTACTACATACTCCATATCAGAAAAAGAGAAGAAATTAAAGGGAATATAATATAAACTTTATTTATACCAAGAACAAAAGCAGCAGCTTTCATTCCTCCATGTTTAATGGAGTTTGAAGGTCTTCCTCTCCAATCAACACTACTATTAGTCTCAGCTTCACAAATATTGTTGTTATTTTCTTTTTCTCTGTCTGTCTCCATCTCCATTTTTTCCAAAACTATCTCTCTCGTTGTACTTTATTTCCTCTCGTATTTGTCTTTATTTTCAAGACAATTAAAATAACAGAAATAATAGAGACAGTAACTAGCTCTTCCTGGTTTTGTCAGCACAGTGAAACAAAACTTAGAAGAGGTTGTCTTTATTGCTAATAATGCTGAAAATGAGCTCCTATTTATAACACTTCAATATCTATTACCTTTCTTTCAATAGCAACCTTTGTTGGATATTGAGACTAACACTCACCACTCCCCTATAGTTATCGAGTCAACTCTGCTCACGGATACAATAAATAAAAAAATTTATACAATCAATATATTATCAGCAACAATATAACTTAATATCTTTCTTTTTTTTCAGGTAAATAGCCTTTTTCGTCTAAACGTCTTTTTGACCAAAAATATATTTTTATAAAGTTAAAGTGTTTGGCCAAGCGTTTAGAAGTGAACATATGTTTAGTAAAAATTTTAAAAAATGACAAATATATGATCTATTAAAATATTTTTATGGGACCATTTTTTTAGCAACACATGATAGTTATTTTCTTAGTCGTCTAACAATAATTTTTCGTTGACATACGCTTTCAAGGTTAATCGAATTTAATAATTATACATTAAAATCAATATGATATTATATTTAATTTTAAATTATCAATCGAAAAAGATATAAGAAATATTAACATATGAATGCCGCATTTCAATAACACTTGGTAAGAAAGTGATGATATAATTCATTATTTAAAGTAAATAAAAATGGAGATGCACTTTATAGTTCTATTAAATGTTACATCCCAAATATTTTTAGATATTTTTTAAAGAAAATTCTATATGAAGTCTTAAAAAGTATATATAAAAATTATATATTTATATGTCAGTTTGATTTGGATTTTTTTGCTCAATAACAAACCAAATCAAACCTAATCGAATTTTTTAATCGGTTGGTTTGACTTTTCGGACTGGTGCGATTTTCCGATTCGATTTGAATGCCCCTAATAAAAAAGAGGTAGATACGAGATAGCATAAGATCAATGATACGTATGTTAATATTACTAGGTCAACTAAATGTTACATTGGGAATATGTGGTAACACCACGGAGATGATGAGTTTGACGTGGAGGCTGACGCAGCCGCAGTAAATGCGAGAACCTNCGCAGCCGCAGTAAATGTGAGAACATGTGCTGCACCACCAGTGGACGAGCAACATAATCAACCCCCCTCCACCCCCGACAACAGATATTACTCACAATGTTGTTAACCATGCAGGCGGCGACGCTCTCCCAACTATTCTGAAAAGGATGGAGGAAATGGAAAACGAGAACAAGGCACTTCGGGACCAAATGAGAGAACATCAAGAAAGGCTCAATAAAATACTAATTTTGTCAAACACTAATTTTGTCAAACATCAAGAAGCACTTTTTAAAAGTTTTGTCAAACACTAATTTTGTTCAAAAGTGATTTTTAAATTAATTAACCAAATAAAAATCGTTTCTCTTTTTTGAAAAATATTTTTCAAAATAAGATGATGTTAGATGCTTGTCCACACAAGCTATAACTCATGTTCGTTAAAAAAAATTGATATGTAAATGACTTTGAAGTGACTTGATATTGTTAAAAAGTTTATCTATCAAATATCAATGNGACAGATATTAAATAATCCTCCTGCTTTTTTAAGTTATGCTTATCCTCAAACTTCATCTTTGCAAAGAGCAATTACATTTCAGCAGCAACCCCCTTCTCTATTCAAAGTTGTATATCAACAATATTACCTTTTATATGGAGTAATATGTTATTAAAGGTTCTCTATTTTTTTATTTTTGCTTTTTTGGATAAGTGAATGTCAAATGATGATATTCAATAAACTAATATTGCATTTTATAATGATCATGACATTTTGTAAAAGATAAGTGTATGGCCAAAATCTGCCCTAAGAGTATTTGGTCTAATACGACATTAAGGAAAAAGTCGGTCGAGGTCGATCAGAAGGTAATAAAATTCGTGGTCGAGGTATCAACCATGATCGAGGTCAAGCATTGCGTAAAGGACAATAACGGCTAGTTTTCAGAATAAGATATTAGAGAGAATATTCTTATGAATATTCCCTACATTTGTACTATTATGGTTTACTAGGGATATGTGTTGAATATATAAGGGGAAAGAAAAAGAAAGAAAGAAAGGCATGTAATATTCATTTGATAAGAATACTTTTGAGAATAAGATTCGCTCTCTCTCATAAAAATACAAAGATTATCTTTAGATATATCTCCATTAATATTCATACTTTAAAAGTATTTTGCACTTATTGTCATCAATTATTTACGGGATTTGTCCCCATCTCCCACACGTTTTCGAGATTAGCATCTAGAGTTATTATTCTCAACTAGATTTAACCAATTATTACATAAACTTAATAGTTTTACCGGAATTCACATTTTTTGGTTAAACAATTTGGCGCCGTCTGTGGGAATTTTCTAGTTAAGTCTTTTAGTTTCTTCTAGATCTACAATCAACACTTGTTATTAACAAAAAAAACAAGAATATTTTTCTCCTTGCACGCATAAATCTAATATTGCACGTAACAGAGAAGGAAGAACGAGAATAATGAGTGACCTCCCAACCAACCTCATGAACATCATCCACGAAAGCTCAGAAGCAGTAGACGAAGACACAACACTCAATGTCTCTCCTAGGCGAGGTGGATCACCCCCTCCCCATTGCAGCATAACAAAATCCCTTGGCAAGACTGCCTCCACATCCATGGAAGAGGAGATACCACCAGCGATAAAGAAGCTCCTTGAAGCCTGGCTAACTGGTACACTGACTAGCATTTTCCATAAACGCGTCCAAGACGTAGCTGCAGTAAATGCGAGAATCTGTGTTGCACCACCAATGGACGAGCAACATGATCAACCCCCTCCTCCACCCTCGACGACAGATATTAGTCACAATATTGTTAACCATGCAGGCGACGATGCTCTCCCAACCATTCTGAAAAGGATGGAGGAAATGGAAAACGAGAACAAGGCACTTCGGGACCAAATGAGAGAACATCAAGAAAGGGTCGATAAAATACCGGGCGCTCCTAAGTTATGGCCGAAGAGAGATGTCGATCGGTTCGTCGAGCAGCCATATAGTGATAGCGCTGCCCCATATGCCATACCAAAGACCCTTAAAATGCCGCCTTATCTGAAAATATATGATGGCACAACCGACCTCGAGGATCATGTGACCCATTATGTCACCGCCGTGAAAGGCAATGACCTCGCCAAGGAACAAGTATCCTCCATTATGCTAAAGAAATTCGGCGAAACCCTTACGGGAGGTGCATTGACCTAGTACTTGCAACTGCCTGCACGTTCCATCGAAACCTTCGAGGAAATGGCTGATAAGTTCGTGGCGGCCTATACCGGGGCCAAGAAGGCCGAGGCAAGAGTGAATGACATATTTGCAATCAAACAGTCCCCGAGAGAAGGACTGAGGGAGTTCCTCGCCCGTTTTAATCGAGTAAGAATGACTTTGCCCGATGTATCAGAAGGGATGTCGGTAGCTACTTTTCAAAATGGGCTAAGCAGAAATGGTTCAAGGGCGACAAGAAAAATATTAAGTCGGCTTATGAAATATCCCCCAATAACTTGGGATGAAATACATAATGCATATTGTGCCGATATACGAGCAGACGAAGACGACCTCAATGGGCCGACTCGTCGACTGACCTCAGTACAAGCAGAATCCAGAAAGGATCGGAGAAATGATATCAGAAGAGATTCTGTGGCCTCACGACCAAACCGAGAACGACATCTCCCATATGTCAGAACTACCGATGCATCCTCATCTCGCCATGAAGAAGGGCCACCCTGATCAAGAAGAGGGACTCACCGAAATGAGAGAGGTATGCCCCATTTACAATCCACTCACAATTTTTGCGTGTCACCTACAAAGATCGTCTACGCCTTGGAGAAGCTCGGACCAAAGGTAAAGTGGCCACAAAAGATGAGGTCGAACCCGAATACCAGAAAATCAGATGCCCTCTGCGAGTTCCATCAAGAGCGGGGACACAAAATCGAAGATTGCATTGCCCTAAGACAGGAGGTTGTAAACATGCTGTGACAGGGACACCTCAAAGAATTGCTGAGCAATCGGGGAAGGACAAACTTTGCAGGGGACGCAAACAACATCAAGGGCCGCCGAAGTCTCCCTCGCCAGCTTGTACCATCCACATGATCATTAGTGGTTGGGACGATGCTTCCATCAATAGCGTGAAGTTCACCACAACAAACAAGCTCAAACGGTTGATCACCCACGAACGGTATGATGAACTCGAAGAAAGTATCATCTTCGATAAGTCAGATACCAACGGTTTGTCTTTCCCTCACTACGATGCTCTCGTTATCACTTTACAAAGACATCGACGTAAGACAGATTATGGTAGACGGTGGGAATGGCACATGTATTATCCATCCTCGAGGACAAGATAGTGCCACGCTGCATCACACTAACAGGCTTTAATAATGCAGTTGAGCGAACATCTGGAGAGATCACACTCCCCGTCTTAGCAGGTGGCGTCACTCTGGAGACCACCTTCCACATCATGGACCAGGACACGGCATACAATGCCATAATAGGGCGACCATGGATTCACACCATGAGAGCTATACCCTCCAGCTTGTACCAAGTCATCAAATTCCCAACTCCATGGGGCATATTCAGTATACGAGGGGAACAACGCACATCCCAGTAATGTTACCGCATTGCCCTAGACTGCACGGCCACCCAACAAAAAATGGGATAAAGAAAAGGAGGCATAGCAATCAACAGGATCGAGGTCGGTATGCGATGACGGCGAGGACTTCATCAAGGACCCCGATATGGTCGGGGCCGCAGGATCGACCATAAAAAACCTCGACCCTGTTCAATTGGACAACAACGACCACAGCAAGAAATCTTACATCGGCTGCAAACTTCAAGAACCCAGTAAGTTTCATAAAGGTTTAATTGATAACGTATACTTGTTCGCTTTTAGACATGCAAATATGCCAGGTATCCCAAAGGAAATAGTGTCACGACCCAAATTCTGACTAGTCGTGATGGCACCTAACCCAACCCGCTAGGTAAGCCAATTATCAAATATCTAATT